GAGTCCCAGAATCTCTAGCCCCAAGTGAGGGCTCATTTAGTACCATGAGCCTTGGGTGCAAAAACATCCCAATGAGAAGTCTTCTAAAGAACATTCACAGCCACAGTACCTGGCCCCAGCTAACACTACAAGGAAACCCACTAGTGAGAAGGAAGAGCTAGCGTGCCACTGCTCCTTCCATTGACTCCAACCAACAGACTGGAGGGAAGGAGTACAGCGTGGAGATAGTAAGTCAGTCAATGAGGATTTGTTAAGTGCCTACTGTGTACTAAGTGCTGGGAGTACAAAAAAGGGCAAAAAAAAAAAAAGTTCCTGCCTTTAAAGAGCTCAGTTTAACATTTAAATAATAACACACATAGTTAGGGCTTTTTTTCGCCCAATATCAGTGGTAATATACATATATTATACATATATATACATACATATATATTATATATATACACATGTGTGCATATATGTATATATCTGTGTACACAAATATATAATATATACATATACATATGTATGTGTATATATATATATATATATATATATTATAATATAGTTATACAGTGTAAATTGAAGGTAGTCTCAAGAGAAGGCACACAGGTGGTGGAGGACCAGGAAAGGACTGCTGGGACTATAGAAGTGGGGAGGGAGGGGAAGAGGGCAAGAATTCCATGCAGGAGATAGATAATCCCAAAGTTCAAAGTCAGGAGAGGGAGTGTATTGCGGGAGGAACGGCATGTGGGGCCAACTTGGCTGGACCATAGACTGTGTCTAATAGAGGAGTCGATGTATGAAGACTGGAAATGAGGCTGGGTTCAGGTTGTGTAGGGCTTTACATGGGAAACAGAGGATTTTATGCTTGCTCCTAAAGATAATAGGGAGCCACTGGAGGTTACTGAGCATGAGGGTAACCTGTGGTTGGGAAAATCTCTTTAGAATATGAGCAGAAAATGGACTGGAGAGGGGAAGAGGTGAGAAGTAGATAAACTAATAAGGAACACATGTGAGTCCACGTGAGAAGGAATGAGGGCCTGTACTAGGTGGTGGTCGTGTGAATAGTGAGAAGTATTTTATGAGAGGCTTCCAAAGACTGCTGCCTGAGAGGACGAGGGCCGGGTAATATGATAAGCATTTATATAAGCCCCTACTGTGTGCCAGGCACTGGAAATTCAAAGATAACAATGAAATAGCCTCTGAACACTAGGAATATCCATTCTGAGGATGGGGGGCATGATCTGCAAAGATATAATTTAAGGAGGATGGGAGCACAATTCCCCCTCCCCCCCCCAGCCAAGTTATGCACCAATGTTCTATCTCATTATTTGGGATGTGTTACATTCTATTCATCGCCATACACCCTCCATGGGCCCTGGTTGTCTCTCATTATTAATTGTTTACTAATGGTTCAGTGTTGCATATTTTATGGCCATATAAGAACATGTACATTATATGGATATTATTAAAGGAAGGGCTTTAGTTTCAAGAAGTATGTACGCATGTTTACACACACACATACACATATATACAGAAATAATGCATAGATTTATATATATATATATATATATATATAGGTTTGTTGTTTTTCTTGTTGCTCAGTCATTTTTCAGTCATGTCCAGCTCTTGTGACTCCATTTGGGGTTTTATTGGCAAAGATACTAGAATGGTTTGCCATTTCTTTCTCTAGCTTATTTTATAGATGAGGAAACTGAGGCAAACAAGGATACATGACTTGCCCAGGATCACACAACTGGCAAGTGTCTGAAGCTAGATTTGAACTAAACAAAATGAATCTTCTTTCCTAATTCTAGGCCTGGTGCTCTTTTCACTAAACTACATACACACACACACACACACACACACACACACACACATCAATATTCATTTCTTCCTGTTATCTCTCCTTTCTGTCTCAAACTCCTTGAAAATTCTGTCTATACTCATTTCTTCCTTTTTTTCTTTCCTCTCAGTCTTCTAAACTATTTTCACTCCAATTTCTGACTTAATAACTGAATGGAAATTGTTTCATGCAAAATTATCAATGATTTATTAATGGCCAAATCTGATGGCTTTTTCTCAGTTCTCATGCTTCTCGACCATCCAAGAATTTGACACTGTCGAACACTGTTCTTTGATACCTTCTTATCTCACAGTTTTTGAGATTCTTCTGTCCTTTGGTTCTCTGTTAATATGTCTGACCATTCTTTCTTAGCCTCCTTTGCTGAGTTTTCATAACTATTGAGGCAATTGAGGAAATTAGAACATCAAGTGATGGTGGAATTTGAGTGAACCCCACTGCCTCCATCTTGTGACATAATTCTGGAGCTAGCTCAGTTATGTTTCTATTCAATTATAGGTCTGGTTCAATTTCTGTCTTATAAAAAAAACCTTTATTCAGTTGTGGAAATTGTTAAAGGACTTTGTTGTATTGCTTGGACACAGCCCTGTATGACTGGGAAGCTGGACCCCCTCTCCCTGTTGCTTAGAGACCCTTAGGATCTAGGTTATGCAAATCATAAATCCAATCAGATCTGACAATTGATGGAAGGAATTTTCTCACAATTATATATCCTAAGCAACCCATGTGTCTTTTCTGAAATTTGGCTCCATATTGGTTAATCAGTTATTGTTTCCATGTTATTGTTGTTGTTTTAATACAGTTGTTGGGGAGAGTGGGACACCTTTTTTTTTCTGATATCAGAAAATTGTACCAGTTCACTCTTCCCCTACCAACTTGGAAGGTCCCTAATCTTTCCTCCAATTAGAAATCAGATTACCTAATTTTGTATCCTGGTTAATTGTTTTCTTTTAACTTATTTGAGTAATTGTTTTAACGCATGAAAATCTGTCTCCCCCTGTATTTTGGGTCTAGCCCTAAGATGAGGAGGTCTGTTCCCAATTTGTTACCAACTGGTATTTATTGTTTAATAAATCGAAATGCTTGGGAGCTCAAACCTTTGTTTCTTCTGTCATTCATCTTTCAACCACCATGTTATCATGTCTTTAATTACGGGAATATCCCAGTGTTCTATCTAGAGCCTTCTTTTCTTTCCCCTCTATACTATCTGACTTGGTGATCTCATCATCCCCCATGGGTTCAATTATTACCTATAAGCAGATGACACTCAAATCTTAATGCTCAGTTCTAGGCAGTCTATTTAACTCCAGTCTCACCTCACTAACTGCCTTGGACAATTTCAAACTGGGATGTCCCCAAAACATCTAGATTTCATGATGTACAGAACAGAAACTACCGTGGTTCTTCACAAATCCTCTTTCATGCTTGAGGTTTACAGTCTCGCAGGTTCTTGACCTCAATGTTGCATTCAATTCCTCGGTCTGACTCACTTGACACATAATGGAGGATTGGCCGATGAGTCTGGCTCTTCAAATGATGGGCTAGGCTGCTACAACCTCCATGTAGACTTTGGAGCTTTTTTTTTTTCTGGGGAGGCAACTGGGGTTAAATGACTTGCCCAGGGTCACACAGCTAATGTCAAGTGTCTGAGGGTGGATTTGAACTCAGGTTTTCCTGACTCTAGGGCCAGTGCTTTGTCCGTGCCATCTAACTGCCCTTTGACTTTGGAGCTTTTACAGACATTCTGGAATCACTGACTGTTGAATGCACATGCTCAGAAGGGTTTGTCTCACTAGTCAATCCCTCTCTCCTCCTGTTACATAAATAACAAATCAGTTGTCAAATCATAGGCTTCAACCTCACCATTTCTTGCCTCTGTCCCCTTCTCACTACTCACACAGCCACCATCATCTCATTCCCACACTATTGGAATATTCTCCTACTTATTTGGTTGCCCTGTCTTAAATTTCTCTTTACTCCAGTCCATCTTTCAAGATTTCAAAGCAATTTCCTAAAGCACAGGTCTGACTATGTTGCCTCCCTACCCCACAATAAACTGCAGTGTTTCCAAACAATTATTATAGTTTTATTTAAATGTAAATCTCTTCTCAATTTGGCTCCATCCTATTTTTTTCAGTCATACTCCTTTTTGATCCCCAAAACTCATTTTCTAGGTGAACCACACTGGCCTTTTCACTGGTCCTTACCCAGGACCCTTCATTTTCTGCCTCTGTGACTTTGTGCTAGCTAGTCACCCTACCTGGGCTCAGCTCACTCTTCACTTCCCCTTTTTAGATTCCTTGATGTGCTCCAAGACTCAGCTCTAGAGCTACTTTCTGCAAGAGGTCCTTCCAGGTCCCCCAGTTGCTGCGACTTCTTCCCTCGAAGTTAGCTTCTATCTGTTTTGTTGCTGTTCCATGTATACCTGTACGTATGCATGTTGTCTCTCCTTAATGGCAGAGCCTCTTTTGCTTCTGTCGTGGTACTCCCAGGATCTAACAAATTGCTTGGCATTTATTTGATTTTCATTAAATTTCTGCTGATTCCAACTCAACCACAATGCTTCTTCCTGCTTCTCCACATTGAGGATGATATGGATAGGCAAGGGAACCCACAAAGATTCTAACAAAGAGGCCAGACCTAATATATGCCAAATACACTATAGAAAGACACAGCTTTCATAGGGACATGTTGACATGAAGAACTTTTGGAGCTTAAGACTTCATACTCATCTATGGGCCTTCCTTTTGGAACCTCATTGGAACTCACTTCCACTCTCTGCCTCTCTTAGGTCAATATTGCATTAGAGTCAGGATGACCCGAGTTCAAATCCCCCCTTCACCACTGGTTTGCAGTGTAACCATGGGCAAGTCACAAACTCTCTGAGCCTCTATTTTCTAAGTTGTAAAATGGCAATAATTAAAAGCATTATACCTACGTGACAGGGCTGTTGCAAGGACCCAATAAGATAAATGCATGTCAAGTAGTTTCCAAACCAGAAAGAGCCATAAAAATGTCAGCTACCATGATTATATGTGTGATATCCAGGGTTTCATCACAACTGTGGCTTCTGGGCTCCTTTTATGCCACAACTCTCCTTCTCTTTCGGACAAGCTGAGTTATATTCATTCTTGTTCCATCCCATTGCTCCTTGTAGAGTGGACCACTGGAACAATGAGAAGGAAAGGGTGGTGGCAATCACTGATAACACCTTGCTGATCTGCAAATATGACTTCATTATGCTCAGCTGTCTCCAGTTTCAACGCATTCCCCTAAGCAGCATCTGTCGCATTTGTCTCGGCAAATTTGCCTTCCCTGGCACATCCTTGGATAAGTAAGTACTCTGTTCTACCCCAGGGGGGTTGGGGATAGGTGACGGAAATAGCCAAACCTTGTATGGGAGCCCAGAAAGAAACACACTGGAAATTGGTCAGGCAAGTGAAAAGACAAGGAGACTGGGAATCAGAAAACCTCGAAACTAGACCTTTTCTTCTCACAAACTAATCTCGGTTTGCTTAGCCATGGTTATGTGCTGATCGCTGCTGTTGTCTGTCTTCTAAAGGAGCTGTCCTTCCTCCCTCACTGTATTATGGGCCCACCAAGGGGAGGACCATGCCTTGTAACCCGTTTATCTCCAGGGTCTTTTGACTCAACCTGGATTCAGTAGAGGCTTAGGTTGTTGCTGATGGTGACAGAGGCCACACAAGCCCTCTCAGGGGTGATTCCTGAACACTAAGTGAGGGCCTGGACTAGTTATCCCTAGTGTCTCTCCTAGCACTGATTCTCTGGGTTCTAGGTTTGAAGAGATTCAACATTCTAAAATTCCAAGTAGAAATTCTCTTTTGGCTCTGACTTTCTCAAATCTCTATTCTAAGGTCCCTTGTAACTCTGACATTCTTTACTCTGTGGTCAAAAGACTCAGCCAGCTCTGTCATTTTATGCTCTATATTTCAAGATCACTTTCAATTCTGACATTTTGTGCATATGTGGATCAGTATACATGTGTATGTGTATATGCCTATGCATGCATGTGCGTTTGTGTGTGTGTATATATGTGCATGTGTTCTAAGGAACTTCCTGAGCTCTGATAGTCTCATGTCTATGACTAAGTTCTTGTCTATGCATTCTAATGTCTATGACCTAATATTTTGGCCTTACACCCATGTTCTATGTTCTAAATTACCTTCTAACTCTAACATTCGGTGCCCTAAGGTTCTTTTCTCTCCTGACATTCAACATTCTAAGGTCACTCCGAGCTCTGACATTCTCCAGGGGTTTTCACCAGAGAGTCTGTGAACTTGTTTTTCTGCTTCATACATAAACATATATCTCCATATATGTATTTATATTTACATGTGTATATATACATACATAGATATTCACATTTCAGTATAACTTATTTCCTTGTTATTGCTACAAATTCTACTTTATGCACAAAAAGTCCTCCACATTTTTGTGAGCATGGTTAGCCCACAGTCTCCACCAGTCTGCCGAAAGGGTTCATTGACACCCCCCACCCCCAATAAAGGTAAATAACTACTGGTCTAGACTCAGGCACACTTCTATGAAATGCCATGTCATCAATGATGTTGTGTTCCTTTTCTGCGCTTCCATTTTCCCATCATGTTATTGGATAAGAGGATTAAGTTTGAGAAGGAAAATGAGATTCCTAAGGTTTTTGTGAGAATCAATATCTTGTTCTGTCTTCATACTACTTCTTCTTTGTCCCCCAAAGCCATTTTCATTCAGAAGGTATTACTAGAGAAAGCAGACAGACATCTTAGGCTTTGTTGTCTGGAGTGTGCTTATGGGTCAGGGTCCTGAGTGCTGATTTTTTTTTTCTTTATTAAAAGAAAGCACCATCATTTCTGGGTACAACCTAGAGCATTGAAATGTAGCGTAATCTAATAATTTTAGTTTAACCATGTTTCACTTTACATCCCCTATATCCCTGATTAAATCATTGGGTCAATTAGAGTTGTTGTTGTTATTATTATTATTTTCTTTCCTTGTCTTGATTCAACCTCTTCATTGAAACCTTTGGTGAATCAAGGATGGTCAAAGAAGAAAAAATTACCACTGCTTGGTGATCCACAAAACGAAAGATAAGCCCTGGAGCGATCTTGAGTAAACTATTTTAGGGCATCCACAGAAAGATGCCCTGTTATAGTTGAAGCAAACATTCCCATTAGGGTGGGACGCCATCTTATCTAGGTTAAATGTTGCACTCACCAATAGGGGTAAGGCTAGGAAATAGACAGGATTTCAGTGCTCTAGAAGTTATTTCAAGGTGAGGAAACTCTCTCTACCAACGCAGGTTCGTTCATGTCTTCTCTGTAACTGATAGTCTTAGAGAAATTTTTGGAACACGCAGATGTAAAATCACTTACCCAGGGTCACACAACCAGTGTGGATAAGAGGCAGCACTCAACTACTGATCAACACTATCAAAAATAATTTGTTGTTCTTGAGTTGTTTCAGTCATGTCCAACTTTTTATAACCCATTTCATTGTTTTTTGTTTGTTTCTTTTTGGCAAAGATACTGAAGTAGTTTGCCATTTCCTTCTCCAGCTCATTTTATAGATGAGGAAACTGAGGCAAACTGCATTCAGTGACTTGCCCAGGATTACATAATAAGTGTTTGAGGCCAGATTTTAACTCAGAAGGATGAGTCTTCTTGACTCCAGGACCAGGGCTCTATCCACCACCCTACCTAGCTGCCCTATAAAAAATATAAAAATTATTATCCTGGAATTAATGTTATCCTTTCTACATAAAAGTGACTCTACCTTCCCTGCAGTACACCCTATCAATTCTCTTCCTAAATACACTGATAGATGGGCACAGATCCATCCACATTGCCTTTTTTGTCTTACTTACATCACGTGTCATGACTACTATAAATGACATAGCGAGAGTCAAGGATGACATTGATGGCCAGGGGATGGAGTGAAGTAAACCATCCCATGTGGAAATTGGAAAGTCAATCTATGAAGGTTGATTTGAAATGTCTTAGGTATGCAGTTTTTTTTAAAAAAATCTTAGAACCCCTAAAACTAAATAAATTTTAATTGGCATATATTTTGTGTCAACTTATTTGAGTCCATATTGTTTCTCTCCCATTAGCCCAACTACCTGCCACCAATCAAATCTAGGTTCCGTGAGAGCAGGGGCAGATTCATTTTTGTCTTTGTTATGACTAGTGCCAAAAAGCACAGTGTCTCCTAAATAGCTGACAGCTACTTAATAAATGCTTTATGAAGCAACAGGGTCTGGCTCTGCTTGGAGAGTTTCACCTTTCAATTTTAGTAGAGACTCTGTCCTGTTCCATCAGTGTACTAACTTTCATGATCAATATAGTATGATACTGGAAAGTATGGAATAGAAGAATCGATTTTAAAGAAGAGTGGGGAACGGTAACCAAGAAAGCTGCCTCTAGAGGCAGAGGATCTCAGTTCATATCCTGCCTTCTGCTGCTTACTAACTTAGGCAAGACACTGAGCTTCTCAGCCTCAGTTTACTCATCTGTAAAATGAAGATGCTGAATTAAATGGCCTCTGAGGTTCCTTCCAGCTGATCTCTGGAACCACAGACCTAGTTTCTAAGCTGCATTTTTCTGTTTGTCAAGTAGAGACTAATGCTTACTTAGATTTAAACCTCATGTAAGGGAAGGCAAGAGGGAAACTTTCCAGCAGCATGGCTTGACCTCCTTTCTCCTATCTCCTTCTAAAGCTCTGGAAAAAATGGAAGAATCAAAGGGCACCCTTCTTCAGGCTCTTGGTTGTGTGTGCATGTATGTTGGTTGGAGTGAGGGTGCATGTATGTGCATTTGTGTGTGTTTGTATGTGTTTGTGTGTGTGTGTGTGTGCACTCATAGTTCCTTCCTGTGGAGGTGACCACTGCTCCTCTTAGGAACTCCTGTCTCTGAGTGTCTGATCAGAATTTTGCCAGCGACAAGCTCCAGCACATCCCACGTACTTATGAAACAGAGATGTTTTGTTTTAATCATCCCTTGCTTTTTGCTTAAAGGAAATGGGCTGTGTATGTGTATGTGTGTGTAGTGGGGGCAGAAATAAGGAAAGACTATGCCTCATTTACTTGGTGTGATGCTGGCAGATCGTCTTTAGATAAGAGGCTTCTGCAAGAGAAGGAACAAGGAAGTAGTGCATGGGTACCTTTATCCTGCTGGGTCCGTCCCTGCCTTGATGCTGGGAGGACGTTTCTTTAGAGTTATAGTTTCTCTGACTGCAAATGGAATGGGAGCCCTCTCTCTTCTGCTTAACATAATTGGACACATTCCCAGGCTTTAATTAAAACTCATTCCTTATCATGCACTTGTGTCTCTCACCCAATCCCTTTACAGAGTTGTGAAAGAAGGCACTCTTTCCCTACTAGCCTGAGGAGGCAGACCTTGGAATCTGTCTGAAGGAAAAACTGAGAGAAACGTTGCATCCTCCCTTGACATTGGGAGTCTTTTCTAGCAGAGTAGCATGGTTATTCATTCAAGGCTAAAGACACTAGGACATGAGTCAGACTGGAACCTCCCAAGGTGTGGTTTTTCCATCGTGAGTGAACATAATAGATGGGCCACAGAGCTCATTCCAGCAGATGTCCATGCTCATTATTCATGCTTACTAATGAATAAAGCTTTTGGTATGCAGCCATGAAGTTTGCATGGTTACTTCAACTACAGTTTATTGGACTAACATATAGATGGAAATAATAACATCAGAGGAATGCCATAGACTTAGGATACTTGGATTTCAGTAAGATGTGTGACAGTGATGTCCATGGTATCCTCATACAGAAGGCAGAGAGATGTGGGTTATTTGCTAGTTCAGTTAGGAAGGTTCAGAACTAGTAGCATGACCTGAACCCCTCCCCCAAAAGACATTAATTGATTTCTATAAAACTGGGAATAGGTCTGTATTGGAGTATCACAGGACCCTGAGCTTAGATCTATGTTGCTCCAGCATTTTAGCAATGATTTGCTTGAAGGCATAGATGGTATGTAAAGCTCTTTGAAAACAGGGATTAGTTAATTCCTGGTATTTAAATCCCCAGTTCCTGGCACACTGTAATAGCTCTTTAAATGACTCATTGATTGATTGATAACACAGAGAGAGAAGGAACAGCTAGGACACTGGATGATGGAATTATGATCCAAAAATATCACAATACTCTAGGCTTATTGACTGAATATTCAAGGATGAAATGTGTTTGCATTTTTGAAAATCTGTAGCACATGTATAGGATGAATTAAATCATATTAGACTGTGATTCTCATGAAGAGGCTATAAAAATTATAGGGGTCAGGATGGGTCAATAGTGTC